AAAGCAGCTTGTAATTCTAACCGGTTGAGGAACGAACGGTGATTATGTTCACTATACGACTACTTCTTGATCTGGTTTTCTTAGACAACCGGTCCTCTTCTTTTCGTCATAAGTTCCATAACTTCGAAACTGCCTGTGGTATTCTGAATGGTCATTTCGCTACCTCTATATTTTCCTTGGGGGGGGGGGCATCACAGTAACTATAAGCGAACAATACGCTTGGGGCTCGGACAAGTCGTAAAACTCCCGGGTCAAACCAAACAAGGCCGAAACTTAACACAACAGTGCCCTTTCAGTGCTGAGACGACCGGGTCTTTACAAGGCACACAAGAAATGCAAATCACCATACTTGCCACAATCCAGATTCCGTGAACGGAATTTCGCGACTCTTTCATTGGGCCTCACAATCCCACCCAATTGGTTCACTGTATAGCACATACAAGGAATTTAATATGTTAGGTTCGTAGGGTGGATCCCAAGGGGTTGGGAGTTAATGTGGGATTAAGAGAACAATTAGAGTATGTGCCCCTGGGGCGAGCATGTCGGCTTGTGTTTTACCCCTTGTGCAAGTTGCACCATATGGGATTGAACAGTTATGACAACGGGACTTGGAATGTAACCATGAGGAATCAAATAGACAGGCACAGGGATTTGACAGATAGTTGGTAGGGCGGAGTATAGCAGATGGCGCAGGTGTCAGATGTGGTTATCCAGAGTAAGATCTCGAAATCCAACTTGCGAATTGCATGGCAATTTAACCGGTTAGAGTGACTTTCAAGTCATGCCGCTTCGTCCCATGGGGACTCCTCACTATCAGGGACCGAACCCATGGCCTTCGACACAAGCGGCTTGCGGTGCTAGCCGTGATATTATGATACTCAGCCCACGTTGAGGTCGAAATACCATCCTGACTTGCACTTCAACTGTGCTTATTCCCTGATGCAATGCAAGTTACGAATGTCACAGGATATCCATTGTAGACTATGTAAATTGGAAGCTAGTTTGATGAGCTCTCGATAACAGATCACAAAATCCCTCCTCATGTGAAGTCGACATTCATTCAGAACAGCTATTAAACGCTATGTCGTACATTGGTCCTGTTATCAGGAAACTGTAATTATAGAGGTCAGCCCTGTTAGCTGCAGCGTTCTTAACTTTCATGGCAATGGAGAATGGGTGGTGCTATAACACAGTTAAATTGTAAGTCAGGATGGTCCTCCGCCCTCATCCTTAGCCCTGTTCTTTAAGATCAGGGCTAGTGGCGCAACCTGATGGTGTCGAAGGGCATTGGTTCGATTCTGATAGTGACGATGGGCTCACTCTGCTGACGAGTTCCGATGGGTCGAGACGGCCGTCTGGTACATTTTCCGAGCGTGTGTGGGATTATCTACCTTCGAAGTCACTGCGATAAATCCTCAATGAAATTACAGCAACAATCCATTACTCCTGAGAAATCGCTTGTTTCTCACTAATTTCTCCGTTGACGCCACTATTTGGACACACTGTACTTGACTAACTGACGTCTTTTTGTGCATTCCCATGGGATAAACCCTCTGAGAACCCGGCAAATAAATGACCGACCATTGAAAGTTCTATGTAAACATTTAACGCAATCTGCTATCATCCTGCGGACGAAATCCACCGATTCAATCCTATAAAATGCTTATCTTCTGTCATTAGTCTGCAATTTTTTGTAAGCGCTCTTATATAAGGCGCTCGACTTCAAACATTTCGCTGCACACACGTATGCTTTGGATACTTTTCCATGTATGCGCATCGGTGAATTGTAATGTGGAAATTAAAGCAGTGTCGTTGTTCATCTCGGCAATATTTCAGCAACCTTACTCAGCCACTGTGGCCGAGGTTAACTTGCTTTCATCGTGTTTTTCACTATCGGTGTGTGTGTGTGTCTTCTCTTCCTAGACGGGAAGTTTTGATGCGCAGCAATTGTATGCCAGCTTGGCTAAATGTCACGGTGCAATCTTATGGAAGTTTTCGGCCAAAAACAGGTTTGTTATGTTTTTAAAGTCATATGGAATGTGAACAAATGAAAAATATACTCATACGTGACAGAGCGAATTCACCCTCGTCGTGCCTTCCCGTTTGGGATAGTTACTGTGTTCTGATTGTCCAAAATGTGGCAATCATTAGCAAAAAGAAAGGCATTCTTCCTTTCACATTCACATGCTTCATTAATTATTGGGGCTCTCGGGTTCTGACTACTTTTTCATAACTTCTACGTCACGGATTATGGCGTAAGAGTTGGCACCACAAAAAGTGCCCTTACTGCTGGCGTAGAAAATCTGGCCAGTATGAGAACGCTAATTGTTTCTGGTACGCATAGGCACACAAAACGCCGTATTCGTAAGAATGTATGGACTAACGATTAGAGTTCATCTGTACATTAATCAACAGATAAAGATTCACTAAAAAGACGGATAAGTGATACGAGATATGGAAGAGTTTAGGCTAGTGCATGATACTATATAACTCAGAAACATGTGTAGGAAATTCGTTAGAGGATATCGAGAATGATTGTGTGGATATCGACAAATTAATTTAGTTCAGATGTGGAAGTTTATTCCTTTTTCATATTTTATATGAAAGCTCACTTTAAAAAGTGCGATAAATTGATACCGCTTAACGGAAATCACAAATCAACATTACAATTGGTCTCCCTCTCAAAGCTACCAGTGCCCTTGTGTTTGCACGAGTGCTAAATGGGTTCTTCAATGCGGGGAAGCGGCAACGCGAGGAAGCATGTCATGTGCTTGCGCATTTTTCATCTGCGGCAAAGATCTGCACAAAGCCTCTAAACCAATGGTTCTCAACCTTTTTGTGGTTGTTACCAATAAAGTGCGTTTACTATAAACAATTACCCCTGTAAATTTTAGCTGCAAAGCTAAATACCTATTAACTATTGCATTTTTGGTTCAAATTACTTTTCGCAGCCCATTTGAGAATTGTTTACCACAACAGGCCATTGCATGCAAAACCCTTGAAAGATAGTCTGCCATCGTTGACCCGTTCAATGCTCGTTTACCAGTACTCGTGCTCCTGTGGTGCACGATACGTGGGTCGCACGACGAGGCGCCTATCCCGGCGTGGTTTTACAAAGGAGAAATGAGGTCCTCAGACAGCTCAATCATGTCGCACCTCCTCGAAAGTGGCCATACTGCATCTGTGAATGATTTTAAAGTCAGCTACTCACTACCTGAACGCTTCTCGCAAGGCTACCGAACGCAAATCTTGTCTATTGCCGAGGCTGTTTACATCCACCATCTGAAGCCGGAGTTATGTGTGGGAAAACAATTCGTACGGCCGATACTACTACCTTGGCCGACTGACATGCTTACATAATTCCTTCATGACCTTACCTATTTTATTTAGGCTGCTGAGTTTTGTCTACTAAGTTTCCTTTGTTGCACTTTTCTTGCCATCTGTAGCCGCATTTAGTCATCGATTTTGACCGTTCAAACACCTTAAAAATCAATCCCAGCCCGATTTGACGCTTACCCCACACAATCAATGTCATGTAAACGTTTGGGTCTGAAGAGAGTTTACCGAAAAGAATTCTTAACCCTTAACTGATTTCTGGTCTTGTTTTATCTGAATGCAATGGGAATATTTGCTTTGCTGAAAATCAACATTATCCGTGATTCGTTGAAAATAAATAGAACATCTATTTCTAAGTAACTTTTTATTAAGTCAACTGATAATGTAAGTTAATGAGACGATTGATATTGCTTAGTTGCAACAGTTTCTGCTATTTTTGTGCGCATTCGGCTAATGCACATCGTAAGTCGTGCTCCAAGTTCATTCGGTTCCTTGCTTTGGTGTGTGATCCCTGGCCAAACAGAAGCAGATGTCAGTGGCTTCTCATTGGTTTCAGCCATCCCTTTTAAGCCCGGATGTTTTTGTTATTAATTTTGCTTGGCAACGGCTTGATGGCTCAATCCTCCTACTTATATTTGCTCCCGTAAAATTCCATTTTACCCCCTTGGAGATAATTATCCACAGGTTGCTAATCAGTGCTTTAAACTCGCTGACTAATCTCGTATCTGATGACCTATACATGTCATGTCTTGTCCGTTCCGGTGCCCGAGTGGTCTGCACGCTTGGCTTGCCTACATAAGGTCACCGGTTCGAATCCGCGTAGCGGCGGGCGTCCTCGCGTTATACTCAGCTCACACACGGTTGCTGATGGTCGCGCGGCAGCGAAGTGCCGTTACGGCATATAGCGGACACATTATTACTATTATTCCGCGATTAGTGCTGTGCTTCTTCGCACTCTATAAGTGAAGATAGTCTAACTAGAACTCGAACCGGTTACGCGGTGGTCGCTATCAGATGTGTTTAGCGGCACCGAGCCCCACGAACACCTCTTCCCACATCAACTAGGAGCTGTCGTTGGTTTTCTTGGTACTAGCTATGTAAACGGCTTACTTTAGACCCACTCTAACTAACCGAACCTGGCTAGATTCGCCCCCAACTGAACTGCGCTTCGACTTGAAATCACGTGTCGCAATTCAATTTTCTAACTGGTATTCCAAAAATCCGAGAGAATCTCAACCCGTTGTGACAGCACACTTGAGAAACAGCCATTCATCTGTGTTTCATCGATGGTGCTAATACATGACAGCCTCGTATTCCTGACTTCGCACACATTCACTAACCATTAGGTCCCGAGTTCCACTCCCACCTCAGGCTATCTCTATCTGAATCCAAATGAGGACGAAACCGGTCATGAGGTATCACTGTTGGAAGTGAGCAACACCGCGGTCCTGGGGATCGGAATGACCGAGGTCTACTACAAAGTAAACTAAGTCTCAATAGAGACTGCGTGTTGTAATCCAAGACACACGACGGATACTGCAAGCTCACATTTGAAACACGTTCGTCTTCCATGTGTTTTGCTTCCATTTTCCATCCTCCAACCTATTCCCACATCCACATGCACTCATTCATAATGGTTACCTCATTCTCTCTCTCTCTTGTAGCGGAGAAACAACATCTCGGCGCACGCCTCGTCGAACGGTTCAGTCAGGATCCCGCAATCATTGGTACGTGCTTTCCACATTACCGCTATTCGGTGTCTGGTTTGTTCATTCTCCGATGCCTTTGTTTCCGTTTGTTTAAAATGTCATCAGACAGGCACTGATGGCGCGAAACCGGATTATAATGCAATTGTTTTCGCTCTACTACTCGTCCGCCGTCCACCCCAACCGCTCGCTGTACACCCACTCCCGACTGCTACGAGCGACCTCATTGTGGGACGACAACAATTTGTTTTCGTCATATTGGGCATACTACCCAATTCACATGCACATTTGGCCTTGAATGTTTCCCTCCTGAGTTATCGAGCCCATGTCATTCGCTTCCAATGACCGGACATGGTGAATTGCACTGAGCCTGTCGGATGTACGACATTTTGTGATCCCCTCAGTCTAGTCCTCTTAGTGGAGTTTTTTCATTATTAAAATCTGCAACCACGGCAGCTGTTTGTGGGGGGCACAAAACACCTATGTTACGTTGATGTATCGTCTCCCTGCCCATTGCTGCGTTTTCACAGTCCCCACCACACTATCTATAACTTCATTCTCCTTGTATATGCATCCATGTGAGACAGTGTGCATACAGCAAGAATTAACGCGGTTACTAAGCCTAATGGGGCAGGTTTGGGCGGGGCAAACACAACCTTGGCAAATCTAATGATGCTCCATGACTCGACCACTCACCCACGAAGCGTGATTGATACGCGCCGGTCCGTGGTTTTAACGGCTACACACACACACACACACACACACACACACACACACACACACAACTTGACCCTCTGTACACCTAACGTTCGCTGACTATGCCCGTTTCATCAACAGCCAGGAGGGCAGCAGCGCCCTGACCATTACTTTTGGAAATTTGCGTTGGAGATTATATCAGGATTGATATATTCGAGCACCCAAATCGCGAAACGACTTAATTGGAATGCTGATCCAGCCACTCTTTTCCTGCCTTACACGTCTTATGACGCTCCTACCCATCTTCCAAGTCAATGGGTCCACTACAGTTAAGCAACTTTGCACGATCCTCGTCACAATGGCAATAGCAGTTGAAGGTGACGGGGGAAATGGGAGAACGAAAATAGGCTATCGCGTGAATAGTGATGAAAGGCGATATCCCTTAAGAGCTCTCCGTCGTCAGTTAGCATTTGTGGACCGAATACAGGGCATCGTTGATTCTCTGAACGTACCGGCATGGTCGATTCCCTGAGCCGCATCAACATCGGCCACACACGGCCCCACTGCTACATTGTTTCCTTCTTTTCTGCCACTTGTCAATGCCTAGTGACTACCCTTTATCTTATCGCAACAGGATGCTTTACTGGTTAACAGATTGCACCCAGATACGTGGCCGATGGGTATACGAAAACTTCGTCCTGCCAACGTGGGCAATTCGAGTTTAATCTATGCTCCAGTGCGACGCAAAGCACCAATCATCGACAACTTCCACTGCTTACTTGGTCGTACCACTATGCTCCGTATTACAACATCGGCTGACGACGGGATTTTCTCAGTATCTTCAGAGTGCATCGATCAATCTTTGATCTATTCAGTGTAACCGGACTCATCGCGGCATTTCACACCACCCTCAATCTGTTGGTTGACATCTTGAAATTTTCACAAATGAATAGGGCTACTAGAATCTCCACGAACCTTATTTGACAGCGTAGTAATTGTTTGCGTGAGCTTGCCGCCGTTTCGGGTGGTTATTCAACGACAGTCACAGTGGATGGAGCTTGGGCCCCGCGCCGCGGCAGTACGCGGCACGCCAGCACATGGTACCGACGCTTCGCTGCCACACGATTATTATCACTCGCGTGCAAGCCACGTATATTGTGTGGTCGCCTGCACTTAGGCCGATTCGAACCGGTGACCGGTGGATTACAAGCTAGATGTACCAAATTGGCCACCGACCGGGCAGATGGAGCTGTATATCAGTCTATTCAACAACGCTTGTTTTGCGCACGAGTTTGTCCTTAAGTCAGCTCATCTGCGTGCTCTCAAACCATGATTTCGTGTGCTCGTTTCGCTCAAAGGGTAGAAGTATGGAGACTTTACTCGGCTCTGAGATACCTAGTTTTGAGTAATAAATTTGAAGGACCGCCTTTCCTGGCTATTTGCATGGGCGCCGCAAGCGCGATGTTGGGATTTTTGAGTAAAGTAAGCTAATGAGGGGGACCACGTTTTTGTTATGGGCTCCCAGTACTACAGATGCCACGATGAAAACCGAAGGTATACTCATTGTGGATTGAAACCTAACTTTCCTTCAACTACTTGTTAGTTGAACCCACCAGGTTCACTTTTTGGTATCCCGTTCTAAATATGGCGTTACTACGAACAGGTACGATCTGGTGAATTAAAGGCAATACTTGCGTCGAAGAATATTACTATGGCAGACTGTTCGTGTACTCCGCCTAGCATAGCTTTTACCGACGCAAGCTTCACGCGGGGGCTTGTGAGGACTACTGTAGTATGAGGCACGTAGGCGATTTAGAGGTGGATCATTTCAATGCTATTTGCACGTCTTCCTTTGGCCTTTCTAAAGGAGAGGATGACGGTCGGCAGCCGCAATTCGGTAGCCGCTTCCCGTTTTCGTCTAACCGTGTTCGGTGAAGCGGTTAAACCAATAACCACAGAGTACCCGTCATCCTTCGGTGACAAAAAAAGAAAATTATTTGTTTCAGGTGTATCTCCACAGAGCCAGGCAATAACATCCCAGATGAATTCGGGGATTTAGGAATCAATCACAGGTGTATTTGTTTTTCTTGGCCCGTTTCCCGCTAGCTGAAACCTTCTTGGATCATTTCTTCAAATGGGATGGAACGCCTGCCGTTTGTTCCGCTACCATCATCCTTCTCCATCTCATGAATCCTGCCTACTACCGATAAGCTCCGATCAGATGGGCGGTAGATCTTTAAATTCATTGTCCAGCCGAATCACCTTATCTCCTCTCGGCTTCACAAGTCCATCACCCTATTCGGATACCTTAGGCCAAGCTCAAACGTAATACTGACGCACTCATTGCCATTTGGGTATGATTCCAATCGGCACCCGGTTCACACACCGCTCTTGTTAGGGACAGCTGACAAGCTATTAGGTTGCACGAAAAGCACTTTCGTTTTTTTATTTTTTTTATTTCACAGCCATCTTCACACTTAAGTCGCATAATCATTATATAATCTGACAGCTGACATAACAAAGCTTACTTGTGAAAACGTTCGATTGCTTCTACTCAGTAGTTTTTGGTTGGTGCCCTTTCAAATGTGGGAAGTGAAAGGCGGCATTTTTCGGTATCTTTTACTTTTTTGCTATCGAAAAGGTAAAAATGCTGTTCAAACAAGAAAAATATTATCAGATGTATATGGAGCTGTATAGGCAAGGCGCCAGTGCCAAAACTAGTTTGCAAAATTTCGATCCGGCAATTTTGATGTCGAAGATGCACAACGTTCTGAAAAGCCAGTTGAAACTGATGCGGACACAGTAAAGGCATTAATGGGTGCAAATCGGCGTATAAGTACTCGTGAGATCGCTGAGCGATTAAATTTATCGAACGCGACCGCTCATGATCATTCGAAACGCCTAGGTTTACTCTCAAAGCTCAACATATGGGTTCCTCGTATTTTTACGGAAAGAAATTTATGCTGTCACGTTGACGTTTGTGATTCGCTTCACAAACAGCAAAAATACAACCCATTTTTGAAGTGCATCATCACTGGGGACGAGCAGTGTGTTGTCGGCAACAGTGTGAAACGCAGATCATGGAGTAAAAAAGATGAACCTCCTCAAAGCACTTCGAAAGCCGATGGTCATCAAAAAAGGTGATGCTATGTGGGATTTCAGAGGAATCGTTTTTTAGCTTGTATCGGACAATATAACGATCAAATCTACGGTGTATTGTCATCAGCTGGACAAATTGAATGATTCACTTAAACAGAAAATGTCAGAATTGATTAATAAAAGGAGGTGTAGTGTTCTCCTAAGATAATGTGGGGCCTCATACAAGTTTGATAACTCGCCGAAAGCCTTTACAGTTTGGATAGGATATACTGCCACACCCATCATATTCTCCAGCTCTGTCACCTGATTATTATTTCTTCCCCTCTCTACAAACTTTTTTTGACGGTAAGACCTTTACTTCAAATGAGTAGGTTACAAATCACTTGGATCAGTTTTTGTCAGCAAGGAACAAAAATTTTGCGTGCATGGAATCATGCTACTACCAGAAAGATGACAAAATGTAATGGATCAGAATGGATAATATATGATTCCATGAAATATTTATTTGATGTGGGCAAATCATCTATCCTTTTCATAAAAAATGTGATTACTTTCCGAACAACCAGATAAGTTAAGATCTCAGGTGACGAAATTGGGCACCTGGACGCCAGGCGCGCACTGTGCACTGTGTCCAGAGTATACTCCGAATCGACGACAAACGTTTGCTTTTGGTGGACACTATCTGGTGACCATATGGTCAGTTTAGGCTTAGTTCAATCTGTCACTCAGTGGGTCCTATTAAACCAAGGAGGAGGACATCGGCAGTATACCGGCACTCGTTACCGACGCTTCGCTGCTACGCAACCACCAGCACTCGCGCTAGGGTTGAAGCGACTGCGAGGGTCGCCCGGTCTCCTATGCAGGCTCGAGCCGAAGACATCCGGGTTGCAAGGCGGTCGCCTTGCCCTTTCAGCCACCGGCCTAGCGTCTGTATAACTGCATTGCGAAAGTGGGGAATTTTATGCACCTGAATGGACTGTGTTTCTGGTCTTTATGATGCGGTCTGCATTGCGCTGATGAGCCCATCAATTACGGGCCCCGTTCTACCGTGCATTTCTTCCACCGGTTGCAAAGTCAGACTTTCACTTTGCACCGTTACTGCGCGAATCCATCCTCTCCCAGCCATTGTGGGGGCCGGAAACAGATCACATGGTCACTACTCGCTTTTCCTGAGGGTCATCCTACTCTATGAGGGTGAGAGTTTATCCCTCTAGGCAATGATACCCAAGCTAGTTCTTTAAAACAACTGATACCACCGAAAAGTTGCGTTTGCTTGGGTATCTACTACGTATGCCTGGTCACTGCTAGTCAGCCTTTTTTAGTGTGCCAGATGTACGGTGGCGCAAAGCTCGCGGTGGACAAAAATTGACGTGGCAGCGGGAAATGAACTCACTGACGACCCAACCGGGTGTCGTCAGTCCGTCTCGCCTTCCGGACTGGAGTCCACGGGACTCGCCTTGTGCTTGGCTCAAGACTTTATAGGACCTGGCTCGCAGTTGACAGCATTGATGTGTCTGCTGCCGTCTCCTAGTTGGATTGCCTGTGTAAAGTGTGTTTGGTGTTACGTTATCTGCGGGGTAACGGATGATTATGACGCGGGGCAGTGCAAGCCGCAAGGAAGCTGCCTCGCCGACGCAGCCTTAGCGTGATATCCAGCTGTTTGTAACGGTATGTTTTTGGCACAAGGTGTAGACGCCTTGACCATAAATGTTTGCTTACGGCATTGAGGTTTTCCGGTAAGTCCTCCTTTGTCTCTTACTTATTGTTCTGTGTTCCGTGGGTCACCATGCCTGTATGGCAGCGAAACAATTCACATGGCCAATGTACTCTTGTTGACAATGATGATGTCTCGCGTTCCCTTATCTACCTTATCCTCTAGCATTGCATTGTGCGCAGTAATAATGGAATAGTATTCAGGATGCTAACTTTCATCGCATTAGAGTACCCGTTTGCGAATGGTCCTGGTAATAACTTAGGTTTTGTAAATGTACGCTGTAACCCAGCTGCAGTCGTAGTTTCCCCGAGCACCATGCACCCGCATTCTTCCTCCACCTACTTTCCGAGGTTTCTGATTAATCATTTGTCAACATTCCCCATGCTTACATGCGACCTGTGTTGATGAAAGCAAGGTTTTTACCCCTCGTGCTCTGTTTTTATTCAGGCCTATTCGATCCACGCAACCCTGCGGTTCGATTGGAACCCAACACTCCAGTTCACATTCAACTGGAACGTATGGGAGTCTGGTCGGCCGAATGGCATCAGCGCACCGCTCGACATGTGCGCTACAACATTACCATCGCTTCGGAACTCACCTCGATCGGATTGTTTATGCGTCGGAGCACCATGCCAACCATTGTGCAGTACGATGTGTTCGATCGAATTAGCGGACACACTCTCCAGCCAATGGGTCGGTCCGGTCGCAGAACCAAACGGGCCGCAGGGGCACGTGTTGCTTACCCCAGACCGGTTGTCTCGGTGAGTTCAGGATCATTGTTATAAGTGGGTTGTTGTACTACTGGTACTACAGTGGGTAGTTCACTTTAGTTCCTCTGGCTTATCTGTGCCTCTCGAAAATTGAGCCAGCATGCAAGGTGGTTCTGTGCATGCAACGGCATCTCTTCGCCTCCACCCTTGGTTCGGAAACCCATTTATGTTTGCATTCTTCCCTATGAGTGAATCTGAAGACATCAGCAATACGCCGTCACGCAGTTCCGACGCTTTGCTGTCGTCCAATCACCGTCAGTCACGCGCTGTCTAAGGATACTGCGAAACTCGCTCGGTCCCCTACACTGGCTCGAACCCGCAACCTCCGGAGAACTACAATGCAGGCTTGTGATGCTTAAGGCCGTGGGCTGGCAAGTGAATATGCCACTGCCTCCTAGTCGCCGCTCATTTCGTGTTACGCATTAAACACAACCGAGTGCGAGTTTTATACGCTTGGCCTAACTTGATAGTTGGTATATTTTAACCTGAAGGAATATAGTGTAAGCTTAGTATCACAGATCGATTCCGTGAATCCACTGCTTGGAGGCCAACATGCTGCGATGGTAATCTGCGATGAGTTATATGATAACTACGCTGTCTTCCTGTTGGCTGCTATGAAGGTGAGTTAGTACTATGATTGGTATGCTAGCCGATTAGGCCCTTTTCAATATTCCTGGGTGTGTTAACACTTAAACAATCGACTTTTCATCCGATCATGCATGTATGCATCCACATTGTTTTTCGATTCAAACAAACAACCAACCAATCAATTCAGTTCCCTTCTGTTACAACACATGCGATCTCCAGCTGTGCTAACAAAGAAAGTTAATTGCGGATGAATATATTAGTAGAGGGATCAGTCTACTAAATCTTGGACAAGAATTAAATCAATGTTTAGCTCTGCCAGTGAATTCTCTAATGACAACGTTATGATCTAGTTATAAGTATGCTGGGTATGCGATTCCCGTTTGTGTGTAGGCGTTTATGCTTTTGTATTGATGGGGAAATTGCGTGCACATAATAATAATAATAATAATAATAATAATAATAATAATGAGACATTTTTTCTCGTGGTACCGAGAAACCGGGCACACAAAGGGACGGATCATATTTACATTGCAACATGCTCTGGCATGCGAGACTGTCAATTGTTTAGGTTTTTACTGGGCTGTTTTTGCGAATATTTTCATTTGGGACTTTTGTTGCTGTATGCTACCAGTTCGCGGGTATTCTCATTTGGTTGTTTTCGGTTCAGCTTGGTGTGACCATGGTGGCAACGGTTCGATGTGGTGGGGGGGGGGAGTATGTGAAGGAAGAAACAGTTAGGTTCGCCAATCAAAATCAGATGAGTAATACACAATCTTACTAAATAGACTGGAGTAATACGGTTGGGACTATTTGTGAGCAGTAAGTTAGCGAGTTGTGCAAATAAGGAGAAGGCTAGATTAATGCAACTCCAGTGGATCATCAAACTCAAGTTGCTTTAGCAGAATAATATAGGCAGTATTCACATCGCAGAGAGTTATGGCATACCGTGGTGTATGGACATTCCTAGGTCTAATTATGGAATTGACCTAATCAAGTTATGTTTTTGGCTGCCAGCTGGTTGAGATACTGATTGAGCTCAGTTGCATTCTTTTCAGCCTTCACGTGTGGGTGGATAATTAGGGCGTACGTGACTATGCACGGTAAAGATAATGTTGAAACGGGAGAATCAAAAAGATAAGTAGACAAAGAAATAAACGCCTATTCAATGCAAAGTCAGGACTTATTCAGTGCGTCTTAATCTAGTAGAATATGTCCAGGGCAGGGTGATTAGGGAAGTGTCCAATAGTTACACAGTTTTTTGGTGTAGAGATAGAAGGGAAATGCACCACAACTAAGAGTGAAGCTATGGTCTAAGGAATAAGTTATTGGGAAATATCAGTAGGAGACAGGAGGACAACAGAGTCAGCGCAGAATGAAATAGGTAAGAAAAAACAAGTGAAGTAATAAGGTCATCCGTGGAACCGTCCCCGGGGACCTGCTCCCGTGCGGAGTAATCCCTCGAGAGATTTCACCCGCACCTCCATGCTCCATCTGGACATGTGTCGGTGTGGTTTTAATGCACGCTGGCCCCTACTAATTTTATTCATCATAGAGAGTGGCACCAATGCGAATTTCTGTCATTTTTTGCGGGAATTGATATGATCGCACACTCCATTATCATCAAAGTTGGCTTTGGAATACTGCTACATGTGCGGTGATGAACCGCGGAATGTGATTCCACGGTTCGTCATCTGAAAACACAGGAGCATCTCAGGATACGTAATATGCTAGCGTCCTGACTTCTGTAAAAACTTCACTCACATGCTGTGACCACAATATATGTCTCACTGCATAACTGCCAGACATTTTGCTGGTCTAGATAGCTGTAATTCCCAGCCGTCGTTATGAAGCTGAGGACATTCCGCAAGAAACTGCTGGTAACGGTCTTTTTTGGATAGTGAGAAAGTACACTGTTGCACTTGGATGCATTCGTCATCTGCAGGTAACGGAATTGGGACCACAGTGCGAGTTGCTTCAGACAGGTCTGTAACTTAGTTGAAGAGATCGTTGCCAGATGATTGACACCTATGGTCACACGGTGGATAGGTATTAACCCAACAAAATAGAAAATACGAGTGGTAACGCTCACTTTATAATGGGCGGCGCGGAGCTTTTACTGCAACGTTTGACAAAGTGTTTTCGTTTACCAATATAATCACTCAACGGTAAGCTTGTAGAAGGTAAATTTTCAAAGTCGAACTAATCAAATAACGGTAATTCGTTGTTTGTGCAGTCGAAATCATTGTTGTGACCGAGGAAACGAACACATGTTGCTATTTTGTTATTACCCGTTGACGACAACAGAGGTCTGGCGTAAACCTCGAACTACGATAGTCAACTAAGTGCGGATCATTTGATCGTGCGTGAGCCATTTGGGTCACATCGCAGCCAAAACCAAACATCGTCTGAAATTCCACTGTGTCAGCACAGTTGCGACTGAGTCGTGCCCCGCCATACTGAGAATTAATCAAGGAAGCAGATTCTGAGTAAATAATTCTTTTCGGTAATTCTCATCAGACTCAAACATTACATGATGACGACAAGGTGTTACATGTGCCGGATTAGGCTGCGTACTGATCAGAATGTTTAATTCCAACAGGAACAAATCCATAAATCACGGGGTCATTGAATGTGGCATATTTTGTACTGGGGCAAGTCACAGCAGAAGTTGTAGGCATTGGTAGAAGTAAAAGACGTACAAACTATTTTTGTACGCACAATTCTGGTTTGAGGTGGCGGATATAGATAGAAGATGCAGACGTCTTTATTGTAAAATTGGAGCTTAACAAATTGAGAACGCACATCAACAAAGTCCAGCTGTATCTACGTTATGTGGACGACACATTTATTCTCTGCAAATCGAAAGCTCAGGCTTTGAAACTGTTGCAACCTCTTAATGATGCGCATCAGAATCTACAATTCACATGTGAGTACGAGTCCAGAAACTGACTACCGTTCCTGGACGTTGATATCATCAGAAAAACCGATGAATCGTGCAGCAGCACTTGGACTGGACAGTACACCAACTTCTATAGTGCGGTACCACTACGGTACAAACGAAATCTAATCCGCACTCTTACCTTCCGGGCACACAGAATTTGCACATCGGACACCATCACAAATGAATTGCAGAGGATGGGTGAGGCTCTAAGAGCTTATGGGTGTCCAGACAAATTAATCCTCAAACATTTGAAAGAATGCAGGATAAAACCACCGAGGATGAATATACCCAAGAAAGAATTGACTGCGCACTTTCCTTTCAAAGACGACAATGCGGCTGATGCGCTTTCCAAACGCCTGAAAGATGCTGTTTAAAAAACTTATTTCGCAGCTCGCCTACGCATAGTGTATTACACCAAGCTTTTATCCGCAAAACCTTTGAAAGATAGGCTGTCCCGATGACTCGATCAATTTTTGTTTGTGCTTACTCGTGCTCCTGTGGTGCGCGATACGTGGGTCCTATTACGAGGTGCCTATCTCATGGGATTCACGAACACATTCCGAAGTGGTTTTACAGAGGCGAAGCGAGGTCTAGTAACAGCTCCATCCTCACACCTTCCAGAGTGCGGTCACGCAGGGGCAGAAAACAATTTCAGCCTCCTCTATACTATCCCTAAAGGTTTCTCGCGCGGATTCCGGAAGCATTCCTATCTATTGCGGAAGTTATCTATATCCGCAACCTCAAGCCGGAATTGTGCGTACAAAAATACTTTGTATGTCTTTTACATCTACCGTTGCCTACAACTTCTGCTGTGATTTGCCCCAGTACAAAATATGCCACCTTCAATGACCCCGTGATTTATTGATTTGTTCCTCTTGGAATTAAACATTCTGACCAATACGCAGCCCAATCCGGCATCACGTCATCACATAATGTTTGAGCCTGATGAGAATTACCGAAAAGAATTCTTTACTCAGAATCTGTCTCCCTTGATTCATTCTATTAAATGGGGCTTTTTGGATTGCTGAAGATCAGCATTTCCCATGATTCAGTCAATACTGAGAATTGCCTACCTGACTATTATCGCCATTCCTCCTTATCGCCTTCCATCCTCTCTCTTAATCAGACTGGGGCTCGTGAGACCGGGCGTGTTCACTTTTTGGAGGAGGGGATTTGGTTTCTCGCCTTTGTCAACGACAAACCCCGTCCGGAGCCGATCACTTTCAGCATGGGTGAAATCGGTAAGTGTGTGTGTGTGTGTGCTACCACCAATGTCAACGTTCGTTTCATCCTGTGGTTTTTCGTCCAACTCAGAGGCTCTTTTTGTCACCCTTCAGATCATACCATGCTTGCCCTGGACACGTTTGTCTCAATGGGCTTTGATTCGATTCCCGCACGCACACCGTGCGTTTGCGCCGCCTGTTTCGATGCCACTCATGCGCTTTTGGCTACTACCTTATTGATGAATTTACACATACTATGCGCTTAGATCGTTCACGTATCCTTATTTAGGACTCTGTGGCCTAACTGACAAGAGGTCATATAAGGCCACGAAGTCCCAGATTCGATTAGAGGACCCGGTCACCCGAGGAGACCAGCAATGTTCAAAATTAACCGCAGTTTATGAACTTGAAGACGAGCAACAGTAAAACACATTCCCACTAGTTACTTTCCTGTCCATTGTCGTAATAGGCATCATTCAGCGCCAGCTTTTTAAATGCGATTACTAACAGCCGAATCAGAAGTCGAATATTGTTGCATGACACTTTGTTCGTGCATCCTCTTCATTCACGAACTCGTAGCCAATGATATCTTACATGCTAGGTCACCTGATTTCGATCGATGACATGCCATTTATCAATTAGTGTGCTTCGCACTGTCACTGTAGATTTAGGCCGTCGCCAGCTGTATCTGTGCCCGTGACGGTGGCCACTCTCGATCGATAGTAGTGGCCACGTGCAGCTTTGGATGACGCACCGGGGCTCAGTTATAACCTCATCACTAGTGAAGTAGCCCTGCTACTAAATTCACACTGTTCCTACGTCATACGTGTCATATGTTAGCGCAACCACTTAAATATGTGTTGGCCACTTCTAACCCCCCCCCCCCCAAACTCCATCAGTGTGTCCAATATACCTGTTATCCCAGCTACACGTCAATTTTACGCAGGATTTTCGCTTGAAAATTCCGAGATAGTAGGAAGGAACAATTGCGACTGGATTCAGAACACTGAATTTTTATGTTGCGTGCAAGAGGAAACAATATTCAATATCATTCTATTGAAATTTGGAGCAGTCAGACCTTACCAAGGCAAGGCGAGGCTGGTCATAAACTCAGTCTGTTTGCACAAGCTAGGTTTCGTCTGCCGAAGCGCTGGGGGTTCATCGAACTGAGGCATACGAGCTTTGCTCTTGTCCGTTAGGTATCTTGAACGATTTTCAAGTTTTGGCATGTCTATCTGTCTAGGATATGTTGATCAATACAGCTAGGCAGCAGTTTGAAGATGATCCACGACCACATTAGGTGAAATGTGTAACTAATGTGGCATTCGCCACTTCATTGCCGGCATCTTAACCCGATCCTGATGCCACCATTTTGCCAGCATACTCAACCGAAGTTGCACCACACCGTGCGCATTCTCCATTGAGGAATTTACTGATTATGTAGTGTTCTGTCAACTGAGGTATTCAGGCGAGTGCCAAGTTGCCATTTTCGGGTCAGCTAGTTTGATCATCAGCCAAGATGGCAAAATGTTGATTTGACCTGGTAAAGTCGGCGTTGCGCGTAACCAAACAACAACTGATTATTTGGTTCAAATGAAAGTACCTGAATATGGTTCCATGTTACCAAACACCACCAGAGCCTGGCAGAGGATCATTGTCTGGTTCCAAACCAAGGGTACTGTCATTGGCTGTTTTCAACAGGATAGTGCTCTCATTGATTAGCTCTTGGCCAATGAATTCCGAGCTAGGTTGGTCCGTGACTCTGCTGAGGCTACTTTCATGAAAATGAGTCACAACGGCTTCCATGGACCGGTTCCCTTAGCACATTCCTTTCCATTTTCCAGCTTATCCTTGTTGCCTTTGTCATTATTACCACTAGTATGGGAACGGTGGCCACTGCAAGTGGATCCGATTCACCTCGTTGCTTGAATCGGTCAATTGATGACGATGGTGACCAACCATACTGCTGCTCGCGAATTCTACTTTTTGGTCCGAGCTTCAAACGAATTCCCACGCATTGAATGACTTTTTTCAACTAGCGCAGTCACTTCTTCGCCACATAGTAATCAAGATGGGCGTAAAATGCACGGTCGAATGACGGTAATGCTAACCTAAACGAACTCCATCTTCATCAACTTTGCCTATGATCCCTCCCACACTCACGTTCCTCGGTTGTACAGTTGCATTTGTGAAGCTGTTTAGCTCCCTTATCTGACGGATTGGTGCTTTTGAGAGGGATGCATTTCTGTCGTCTACCACGCGGAGGTAAAGGACACAAAGGTGGAACCCGACTGGTCTTGTGTCACATAAACTGTCTACTGTTAATGCAATCAGAGGTCTTAGTAGCACACAAGCTCTACGTGCCGGCGCTTTGCTACAGCACAACCATCACCAGTTGCATTCTATCCGGGATTATGTGAGGTCATCCGTACCTACGTAGGCTCGGATTGCTCACGCTTGGAATACAAGCCGATGGCCTGTGTCAAAAATACACAAATATTCACTCAATTCCTATTCGAACGAGACGAATCGTCGTTCGACATTTAGGCGATCATTCAACAGGATTTCTGCATTCACCACTCGCCAGCTACACTGCACACTCTTGCTACAAATGCATCCACCGCGACTGTGAGTGGTGTGTAGCCTGATGATAGGTCCTTGGATCATATTCTAGGACCCCTCCGGGACTGTCAGAGCATATGGGTTTTGACTCCAGAACAGCCCACTTCTTCTCTCTCCGTCCAGATGCACCGTTTTACGTCACTGTCCGTCCAGTAACAATGTTCTGTTCACTGTGGTACTAGCCACCCTACCTCAGAAGCAGCGGTCACTGCTGTAGGTGCAGTTGAATGTCGTTTTTTATTTCTCCGTCTTACGATCCGCCGGTGGTCATTTTACAGTCACACACGCACACACACACACACAGCCCCAACACATGCTAGTTCACGCTTGCATACATACACGAAGGTATTTTCCCGCATCTGACAGAGTGCTGCTCCAATTGCAAGTTCCACTGTACTACCCCACAGAGCCCATTAGAGGGCATAAGAGAATTCCGTTGACTGGGAACTATGGCCCCATTCCTTACTGAAGAAGTAGACGTCATAAAAAGACCCAAATACAATTTCATCCTTTTCTGCCTTTCTCGATCACTCGCCCCCCCCCACCCCGCTTTCCAGACTGCGCACACACTGGGAATAGTTCTGGAAAACTGGCTAATTCTGATCAGTAACCATTCTTCAGTCTTTGGAAATTGTTGAGCTTCAAACAGCGCATTTTCTCTTTTGCCTTAACAATTTTACATCCTACGAGGACTCAATGGTGGCACAGTCTTAAGAAAGCGACACTCGACCTTGTTAAAATGTCTTTTTTCTCTCGCTCACTTTGTTCTCCCCTGAGATCAGATTAACGAGTCTGAAAAAGCCACCGTGATTCTTCGCTTCTTGATCAAAGCAAAAAGAACATTCGATTGTTCTCCACAGTCGCATACACAATACAAGCAGGAACACATACACAGATATATACGTGGGAGAACATTTGCACACCAATCAAAACGTCAAAATCAAGACAATCCAATTGACTGCCTCAAGTGTTTTCGTGCACATAGCACAGATTGATAGGCCCTAATTACCAGCGCTTCCCTGATTGCCAACATTATCGGGTTCCGGTTGCGTACTAGCACTTTGAACGCAGTCTTCTGGTCCACATTGTGACCAGCTGTCACGAGATGCTGATTGTCCGAAGTATGTATCTAATCTGTCATCTGCTCATTTCACTCACCGGCAGTTGGAAGTGCTTTCTCTTGGAATGAAATATCAGTTGCCACCCAAGACGATAGACAGGCTCAGCACGCAGACTCAGTTTGAATATCTATATGACCAGTTCAGTGATCTCTCGCCAAGATCTATAGAAGTTGCTTGCTGGTTTCGGGCAAAATTGGTGGATATCGCGAACCAATTCCTTAATACGCCAATAAGCCAGAGAGGTTGCCTGAATACTGAACACTATGCCGCGATCAGAGAGTTAAAAGAAATGGCCCGCGTAATCTTCCTACAGCCAGATAAGGGATCAGGCATTGTAATAATGAACAAGGATGACTACGTTTCAAAAATGGAGTCTGTTTTGGGGGATAGACGTAAGTTCCTGATAGATACGACACCGGAGAATAACATCTTGGTGGAGAAGCAGGTGGCCAGAAAACTCCAAATCCTTTTGCCACACGGATACATCACTGAGTCGCAGTACAGACAGCTGAAACCAACTGGGACGCAGACACCGAGAATGAGGGGCGCGCCTAAAATACACAAGCCAGGTAACCCACTGCGTCCGATTATGTGCATGAACAACTCGCCTTATCACAACATTGCTCGGTGGCTGGCGAAACTCTTAGATCCCGTGCGTAAACTTCTGACTATGCACTGCTTGACAGACTCATTTGAACTAGCGGAGACGCTAGAACAATTCTCACTGGGTTCGGAATTGATGTACTCTATTGACGTGCACTCTCTATTCACAGACGTGCCACTTCAGCAGACATTTGATGATTTGTGTCAATTCATCCTGAGTCAAAACCTGTATGTGGGCCTCCCTGTGGTATATTTGAGAGATATGATTCTACTGTGTACAGAGAATGTACGTTTTGAGTTTGAGGGGACAGCATACAAGCAGATCGATGGAGTCCCCATGGGCAGCCCTCTGGGACCGGTTTTGGCAGATATCTTTCTCGGATTGATCGAAAGATAAGTCGCTGCCAGTATTGGTGAAGCAAAATTATACAAAAGATATGTGGATGACATTCTGGTGTTCACCAACGGCGAACATTTTACTCACCTGTTAACCACCCTAAATTCAATCCATCCCAACTTATCGCTATCCCATGGGATGGAACAACACGGCTGCCTGGCATTTTTGGATATCCTCATTAAGAGACGGGACGGAGGTATATTGCAGCGCACCGTTTACCGCAAGGCAACCTGAAGTGGGCAGTACCTTCACCTTTTTTGTTTCGCTTCGGTTGC